AACAAAATCGAGTCGTACAGCCTTCCATTGCTTTGCAAGATTCAACAGATAGGAAAACACTGAATCAGCAAATTCTCCAAATGTTCTCCACTTTCCCTTCATGGCCTGTACTACGGCCATACCATCTACGATTAATGCAGTTCCATTTTGAAGGCTCTCTACATCTACTACTGGGCTACTTGCGGTCTTCTCCAATACTTCGAACATCTTCGACTTAGTGGTTTTCACAAGATCTCCGGAAACAGTGGCAATGGATAGTGGGAATTCACTTAAGCTAAAGGAAAGAAGTCCCTTCAAGTCGATTTCGCGTGTTTTGGAGATAACCAACAGTCGCGCAAAGAGATTTCTGGTTGATTTGACAGCTATTGTTTGGCCCTTCTTGTCTGTCATTGTTTTGGTCTTGCTTGAAAATGTCCTTATTTTGTTTCTCTTGATCGGGGTAAATATATCAGGTTTCTTGCTTAAAAGGTTGTCTTCGCAAAATGCAGTGAATTGACCCTCACCCAACTTTTCTGCGTCAAGAAGACTTTTAGCTGAATCCTTTGGTAGTTCAACGCCACTTGTTATATTGACGAGCCCATCTTGATCGGAGTTAAATGGATTGATCATGCTTGTAATTGTTGCTAGGACACCGCACACAGAATTTTCATAATTCTGGCATTTTGTTGCATCCAGATCTTTTTTGTTTCTAAAGAAATACAATTATTATTGTCATTGACATTTCTGATCAAATATTTGCATAGTTGGTGTGAAAGATTTCTATTAAATTTCAGCTTTCGGTCACAAACTTAATTGAATACAAACTTACCGTGGTTTGCAGTTAATTCCAGCCATATATTTGCACTGGCCTGTGATCCTAGCCCTTTCAGATTGCGAGAGGAGCCATCTATGCACTGATGCGCGATTCATTGTAAAGCCTATCAAACCACCCTTGGTTTTAGAATCTCTGTTAGCTGTCTGTTCGATCGTTTGGTCGCACGCAACGGCTGCAAACCCATAATTGTTCTGGCGTTGTACCGCGAAGTTTGCGGAAACTTCTGGAAGAGCTCCTATAAATTACAAAGAAGTAAACTTTTATAATATAAACATATCCTACATTAAATATACTGTATGTAAAAGAATGGCTGTCCAATTTCAAGCAAGCGTTTTAATAGGCTACAATGTAATAAGACTACAAAAACACACATGTACCTGGATGGGATTTCTCTAATGAAATCATCTCTAGCCAATACGCTGAGCCATATCTTGCGTAATTAACTTTATCGCACGCAAAAAACCAAGGGATCATTGATCGAAATGATGACAAATGAAGGTTCCAATCCACTTCTCTGGTTGCTCGGATGAATAACAGAAGTATGCCTAGAAAAATAAAAAAAGAATTAGCCTTTGAAATACCTTTTTTTATTTCAGATACATTTGTAATACTGTAAGCCAATTAATTACCAGTCATTTGAATGTACATGCTCCAGTAGGCGAAGGTAAGTGATCTAGCTGATGACTCGACAATAAAGGCTTCGTAACGCTCACATAGCTGTTCCATTTGTTCACTATTGATATATTCGCGTAGTTGATCCTCTTCAAACGCTTTTTTCATGGTTTCAACAAACGATGAGATGTCTTCTTGGCTTTCGTCGTCTAGCGTGTCTAGAAATTCTTCAAATCGTAGTCTTTGCAGAGCTTCGTACATAGTCTTGTGACAAAGCAGGGAGCGGTTATAGTGTTTGCCTGACATAACACCCTTTATGGAGCCCTCACTCACTATTCCAGACTCGATAAAAACATCCTGTAAAATAAATTAAAAACCATTTAGTGATTGTTTATATACAATGAATTTTATTATATGATCTTTTGAATTTCCTGCACAGGAAAATATATCTCGAAGAGATATTTCAAGATAATTGCGCAGCAGAATGCTTTTTAAGTATTTTAAAATCCTTGAAATAAATGACAAAAATGAGTTTTAACTTGCCTTTAGCCCTCCATCTTCAAAGATCTTAGATATTGCTGACAGGAATGACATTATTGCATGGAATTCTCCAAGACGTACTATGAAACGGTCGTAGTAGGTGTCATTTTTCCATCGTACATGCTGGATTTTGGCGTAGACAGCCTCGTCAAATACCAGAGTCGCGTACTGAAGCTGCAGCTGGTCTGCTATCTTGGTGCTTCTTTTAAGGATCGTATTAATGGTGGACTACTCTGTCGGAGACGCGTCGATGACAGGGAGATAGCCAACTCTTGAGATACTTGGGATGTTATCTTTGCGCAGGAGGGTATTAAAACCTGTCCATCCAGGAAGTACAGGCAAGTCATCTGAAGGCACCATTTTCAGCAGTACATACGTCAGATCGAGAAGTTGCGCGGCCTCTGATGCAGCTGTTTGAACCATGACATTACCAGTAACCTGTTCTATTTCAATATTAAATCTTGGTGTCTTCTTATTCCCAATGCTGAATGGTATTATATTTTGTTCCGGCACTTGTACTGTACGCTGCGACTTTTGTATGTTCACTGTTTCTCTTTCAGAAGTAATTTGATGGCTGTGTGAAACTTTCTGAGTAATTATACCATTTGTTACATGTGTCTGTTTCTTGAATTCTTCGCCAAAATCGATGTTATCATACACTAAGTTAATCGATTGACCTGCGACAAATTCTCTTGGAACAATGTCAGATGTTTCGATGACAAGTTGCGCGATGGCAGAGTCGTATGCCATTGTTGACGACAAAGAAACACAATGTCCTAGACCATTCAAAATATGAATCAAACCTGAACATCCAGAAATTTGTCTTACTGCCATTGCCAGTGCCAAGGACTTTGGAGTTTGAGTTCTACCCTTGTTGGCATTATAAACCAAGTCTTGACACATGGAGTACACTTTAACTGCATATTCTTCGTTCATATCCACGTAGCTTGAGACCTGTGGCTCCTCGGAGTATCCAAGTAACCACGCCACAAAATTATATAGAAGAGGGGATACCACTTTCATAACGCTTTCTCCAGTGATGTCAGAAGCAAGAGGAGGCCAATTCTCATACCATGACGAGCAATATTCTAGAATGTTTTGCCTTAGTGCAAGTGCGACTACGTACAAATCTTTCAGTTCTATCGTCCTCTTAGTCTTGTTGGATGTCTGTTCACATTGCTTGGGCTCATCTTCGTCGTCTTCTTCATCATCTGAAGTATCTGATTGACTGTCACTCTTTGTAGTCAACAGCCTCTCCACCACACTTTCCCGACTTAAGTCTTCAACGTAGACAAATTCATTTTTGTTTCGTACCTTTGGTGTATGGAATACTAATTGAGGAAATCGTTTCTTCAGCCTGTTTCTCAATCGAAATGTTGCATAACTTGAAGCATCTTGATTTTCTTCTTTTCTCACTGTATTGACAAATTCGGTTTTGAGTCTAATCATATACCAAATGCCATGGTTATCAATGACTTGTTCTTTTACGATGGTGCAAAACTTATTAAACGACTTGCAGTACATTGTATTTTCTATGGCTGAATCGTTGGTTTCTGGATGGTTCAAGAACGATGTGTATTTTTGATAGCAACATTTGTGATACTTCACCTCAACGGCGACACAATCTTTGTCCAATATATGGATAAGAATCCGCTGGTCGTTCTTTCTCGTCGCAGCTTCTCTGAGCTTCCCACCGTCGATTGTTTCCGCTGAGATCAGCTGGCCCAATTTGCGTTTTTGGGTATACTGTTGAGTGATAACAATACAATGAACTTATGAGTTAAAAGGGTGCGGCTGCAGAAAACATTTGACATGTTTGTGAAATTTATCATAGCATAGATAGTATAATATGGTTCAATACAGAAAGAAATAAGCTTTTGCGTTTTTCTTAAAACGACGTAAGCCAATGACGTAAGAAGTGATTGAGAATTTGTTAATTCTTCAGTACATTTTTAAAATTTTAATTTGAATAATCTATCACTATATGTGACGTCCAGTGTAACAATTAGGTACTTAATGTCCCCCTTCAAATGACAAAACATTTATATGCCCTGCTATATACCCTATGTCAGTGGCTCTGATATAGACTGAAAATATGTAATGATCACTTACCGTATCAGTGATATAAATTTCATCCTTATTACAAATAATGCATGCTGGTGGGAGTATAGAGCTGGATTGCGATGTTGTGGACGTACTTGGCATTGAAGACCTCAGCATCTTTTTGGGGGGTGGGCTACAAGTTGGTTCTGTACTGATTGTGTCTTGTTGATTTTCTACGGATCTGTTCGCCATAATTTTAGCACATCGGGCTTGAGAACGTTTGATATTTGTAAGATTTGTAAACTTTGAATAACAGCTTCTATGGTAATAAAAATTCCCAACCGCTGAAGACTTGTCGTCGGCATCCTGTAAAACACCCTTTGATTTCTCTGCTACTTGTCTCTGCTGCCCATCCAAATCTATCCAGATCTCATGACAGTGCCGAAATTTTTCAAACGAAACACTTGTAAATGGTGTCAGGGGTCCGTTTCCGTCTTTAAAATGGATACAACATCGTGGAAGCGCCATGTTATCCGGCATTTTACAAGGCCTGTAAGTACTTATGAGCCGGGATTGTCAGCGGATACCCCCTCTAACATAGCAACTGCGCGTGCGCATACAATAAAATCCAAGATGGCGGACATCAAAACACGAGTAAAAAATTTCGAACTTTCGAGGGTTTTTACTAAAAAACAGCAGGATTTCAGAGGTGCCAACAAGCATATTTGTATTCAGTAGGTAAAAATCTATAGATTTAAGTTGTTTTTAAGTAGACCCCGTAAAGTTTATATTTTTTGAACGATAATCGACTTCAGAATACGGCCTACACGCATCATGTCTAATATTTCTATGATAAAAACGCCAACAAGAAAATATTTCTTTAAAAGAGAAATAATGTTTCGTTCCAATATAATTATAGAAATACCAGACGTCTGTAATTAGCGGTTGTGACCATAGATCACTTGTATATGTCGAGCAATGAAATTGGTTCATTTTGTGAGGCGGGCGGGTTCTATAAATTTTCATTACCCAGAGGGGCCGAGCGGTCCAGAAATACAGTTGTAATATTTAAAATGAAGAAAAACAAAGAAAACTATATAATAAATATATACCGCTGTTGGCGCTTGAATACTTCAAATATAAATCATCGTGCCTGTAGATTTTGACCTGAAGTTCAGGCCCTAAGATTTTGATTGGTTGCAAGTTCACATAAACAACAGTTTTAAAAATAGCTCAGTGAAGGGCTCAAGTAGTCTCCTACGGAGCCTGTTCGCGGGTCCGAGGTTTTCTCCCCACCTTGAAGGTCTTTATCAAGATCTTTGACGAATTTTGGACACACGACGCTGAAAGAACAGCCAAACTAGTCATCTATTCGAAAGTTTGTTGTTGACAGCCAAGATGTTCTGTCAACTGGCTTCGCCGGCAAAAGTCTTATTTTTAATATCAGGTCCTACCGGCGTTGTTTTCTGAGCTACATCGCCTTCTTCGTGGTACGATTGAGAATTTTATTGTTGCTGTTGTTAGCCCGTTAAAGTATATCCTTGGTATATATCCGCGTCCAGCAAGATGAGACCTTGAGAAAGCTTGGCAGTCAAGCTGTACACAGAATTGACTAATTGAATCTTCGTTTGCTGTTCGGTTAAATAGAGAAACTGACTCTTAATTATATAAAAGTACTTTGAATTTTTAAGTTTAATTAAAAAGCAAAATGCACACTCTGCGGACATGTTCATGAGAATATAATTTTTTTGTGTAACGAAATCTATAACACTTGTCAATCATATTGCATGCTGTGTCTAAAAATAACATGTGAGCGTCCCACGGTCTAGACAGGTTTTGTGTCAGGCCCTATTTAAAATTAGGGCCTGAACTTCAGGTTAAGTTAGCATGTTCTCATAGGTTGATAGATAATTAACTAAGATTTCCGAATTATACGCCACGCCTCCAAAAAACTTCTTATGCTAGGAGCGGTCATCTCATTGGACGATTCTAAATGTAATTGACGTTTGAGCAAGAATACTGGCAAAGGATTGGATAACTTTGATCTCTGACGTCACTTTCCTGTGATAATTGCTCGAAACCAAATACAGTACCGTTTCGTTCCTGCGGGGAACGAAACAAAAAACTTCCCACGGCTTGTTTCAATCGATTCCACGCGCAGGTCTCGAGGATGAAGTCTGATCTATATAAATCGTATTTAAACTGTACTAACTGTGGGGAGCCAGATTTATTAATACATTCAAGTTTAGAAACAAAGACTCGGGTATTCTCAGCTATATTTTTGCTCAATTTCTTCGCCAGTTGCTTGTTCATGATCCAGAGAAATCCTCTGTTCAATGTTCATGATCTTACAAATAAACCGGAAGTTCAAAGGTAAATGTTGACAATCTCTGGCTTCCTATTGGTTTGCTACCTTCGCTACCCAATTAGTATTCTGACCAATAGAAAACAATCATATTCAAGCTGCTACCACAGGCTGCTACATTACCGACTAGAGTACTAGACAGACATTACACCTTTTAATTCGAAGTCTGCCAGAATTGCCCTGCAAAAACCGATGATGCCCTGCAGCAAATTTTTATTTCTGGCCACTATTTTCCTCAAGAATGTTGGCGAGGGGGTTTGAAAAAATACACATAAACCAGTAAAATTAAGGATCAAAAAAACTTTTTCGTACAAATTACTGTTAAAACATGGGTGGATCCCTTATTTTTGGACCAATGTCTGTAAAATTTAGGTCTTTAAATTCTACTCAATTTCCTCTGAAAGCTTTGTAAGTTATTTAATAACTCCACATTCTATCATTTAAAATCTTTGGTTGCCCTGCCAATCCAGATAATTCGTATTTTGGGTGGTGTCACCCCCCCGATACCCCCCTCAAGTTTCGCCCCTGCTTTTCATTAAAATTCTCAAAAGTTAAATGTCAGTATATGTTTCTTCTGAAATCTACAGATTTTCTAAGCTATTCATGCAGCAACGATAAAAAATACATCTTGTTAAATGTTTTCTTTATGGCATTGTGCTAACAATCAAATGTTTTCAGTTTTTAGTGCTTAGAAACAAAGTTGAAAAACTGAAAAACAGCAAAAAAGGAGGAAAAAACACTTTTTGCAACTATGTGATCAGGCTTTGTAGTAATTTTTACCAATTTAAGGAATTTTAAGGAAATCTGAGGAATTTTCGAGCTTTTTCTAAGGAATTCGAAAATTTGATTGTGAGAGCACTGATTACTAGTATAAGTTTTGTAAAACGTAGCCGTTTCATACCAAAACATGAATATAAATAGTGTAATAAACGCGTCAGTTTCCAGCCAAAACATGCTCTTGCGTTTGTCAAACATGAAATCGGATCACTTTGCGTCCGACGCAAAAACCATACGGAATAGGGCTTCTGTTTACATATGAAATGTTGTTAGGCCACATAAAAAAAAATAGTTGGTTAGCGTCCCCGCCCGCCCACAAAAAAGGCCCCGCTCAGGATTTTTTTTTATTTAAAAAAACCCCGACTTTTATTGATCAACGGGCTTTAATATATGTAGTATTTCTGTTGACTGTAGTTAATTGTGTTAATAATTTGCGAAATTGCGTGCGAAAATGACGGTATGAATTATATTTTGAAATATATAAAAAAATATCTGTACTGCGCAAGAAAATCCAGTTTCGGACCTAACAGTGAGTAAAACCAAGGCGTTAAAAATTAGTAAAAATTAAAAAAAAGCGCCCGCCCGCCCACTTTTTGGCAAAAGCTAAGGACGCTAACCAACTATTTTTTTTATATGGCCTTATCGTCTCAATTTCTGCAACGGACCGGTGGTGCGGCGGTTCGCTCTTCGAAGTGGTGCGCTGTGTATCGGATCGGTTTTTGCAACGCTCTCATTGCAATGTAAACACAAATCGGAGCAATTTTCGGTTCAATGCGTGACTCAAGATGGCATCAGGGAAACAAAGACTTGCTATTCTAATCTTATTTGCGGGTCGAATTGCTCACTTATAATATTTTTGTATTTAGTTGGGCCAGGGCGGAAGCTGTTTACACTTGGGCCGTAACGTTTCGTCAACGAAGCAAAAACCGATCCGATACAATGTAAACATAGCCTTAGTTTAACGCTTGAAACGAGGCAGTTTCCATGTTATAAATAGCACGTTACACCCACAAAACGTGCACGTTACAAACGTAAACAAACGCGTTTTGGCGCTCACGGTTAACGGTAGCTTGCAAATGGTTTTTTGCCTTGGCTACCTTTCCGATCGGGCCAATTTTACAATCACAAAGATAGAAGCATATAAGAAGAATTTTGAGCAAAAAATTTGGAGTATTATGGCTTTATAACGCCGCGAAACGGGATTTACAACTCTGAAGGAGTGGAGAGCTTCAGACTTTGTCAACACGAGCTCGTTTTGCTACTTTCATACAAAATCAACTCAAAATATACAAGAATAATACTGTTACTGGACGAATATTCTCAGGAAATTTGAAGAAATGAAGCAGCTACATTGTGAACGAAAGCGTACATGAAGAGGTTAGTTTTTTATATACCTTTTATAATTATATGAATTAAAATTAAAATAAATTATTATTATATTGAGTCATTGTTTAAAAGCCTGTTCTAAACGTCGCATTTTACATGTGCCGAATGCATTCAAATTTCAAAACATTAGATAATCAGCTGAAATGCCTCATCCATTGACCATTGTTTTGAATGCAATGCCTGTTTAGAACAGGCTTAATTTGGATTAAAAATATTTGATTGTCACTTGTCTTCCTACTTTAAAACATATAAAACTTCTCGACAAAGCGCCGAGGAATGCTCTTGACAAAATTGATATTTAAAACTGTTCCTTATAAATTCATATAAATATTAGTTATAAAAGTAGCCTCAAATGAGGTATTTTAAAACTATTTAAACCTCAGTACGCTTTTGTTCACAATGTAGCTGCTTCATTTCTTCAAATTTCCTGAGAATATTCGTCCAGTAACAGTAATTTTTGTATATTTTGAGTTGATTTTGTATGAAAGTAGCAAAACGAGCTCGTGTTGATAAACAAAGTCTGAGGCTCTCGGTTCCACTCCTTCAGAGTTGTAAATCCCGTTTCGCGGCGTTATAAAGCCATAATACTCAAAATTTTTTCCTCAAAATTCTTCTTACAGTATATGCTTCTATCTTTGTGATTAGTATAATATTGGGCAGAGAATATTGGGTATCTGTGCCCTGGTACTAACATATATATAATTTATAAAATAATTAGAATAATTAGAAATATTTTATTCCAATTCCAAGACACACACATTCCAAGCCACAATTAATTTAAAGACCTCAAAATGGCCACTTCGTGTGGTCATGGCGAAGCGGGCATGGCAAATAAAGTTGAAAGTTTACTAGAATGTTCAGTTTGTTTGGAAACACTGAATGATCCACGCACTTTGCCATGCTTTCATTCATTTTGCAAGGTTTGCTTGGAGAAAATTGTTCGGATTGAACGCAAGAAAGCAAAGATTGAAGATTTCAATTGTCCTTCGTGCAGGTCTGTATTTCAGTTGAAATCAGATCAGGAAGTAGCAGAGTTGTCTAGCAGTCATTTTATCCGAAACATGCTGGAAGCTGTTCAACTACAAAACCGAGCGAAGCATGCCCATTGCTCGAAATGCAATAAACGGCAAGCAAGTTGCCGTTGTTTGACATGCGAACTGTTCTTGTGTGACGCGTGTTTGGCAGAGCATAACTCGGTATTGGAGAGTTGGCCTAGTTTTAAGAAAATCCCATGCTCTGTGTTAAGCATTGAGGAGTTAACAAAGCCTGAAAACCAGTCAAAGATTAAAGGCAGCAAAGTTTTGCATTGTAGTAAACACGAGGGGAAAAAACTGAAGTTTTATTGCGAGACATGCAAGAAACTTATCTGTAGATATTGTATGGATTTTATTCATACCCGACCAGATCATGAATGCGCACCAATAGAGCATGTCGTTGAGAAGCGAAAGGAATTTCTAAAGAACTCGGTCGGTACACTGGAAAAGAAATTAACCCGTGGCAATGAAGCTCTACAAGTCACATCTGTTGTGGAAGAGAAGTTCAAAAGCAACACTCAGAAGGCTAAAGAGTCGATCATCAATGAAAAGGAACGAGTGAAAGATATATTATTGCAACGCTTGGAAGAGAATGCACAGAAAAGATGTGATGAAGTTGATGAATTTTACAAAAGTACACATGAAAAAGTAATTGCAAAGCAGCAGAAGGAGATACAGTCATTTGTGAATGAAGTTAATGTGTCGTATGATTTGGCAAAGAAGATTTTAGAGAATGGTACCAATGTGGAAGTTATCGAATCAGAAAGAATGGTGGCAGAGAGGTTGGGAGGTGTAGAGAAGGAGGAAAAAATAAAGATTACACAGATCAATGATGTAGATATTGAATATGTCAAGAAACCCATTGATGTTAAACAGCTAGAAAAGTTTCTGGAATTGGGTGATGTGAAATTAAAAGGTAATGAAACACCAAAGTTAGCATGCAGTGGCTATGGTATATAATAACTATATATATCACTAAGTTCATTCTGTGGGCATGGCTACTGGCAAAGTGCTGGCTGCCATTTCCAGCTCTGTTAATAGAAATTAAAATTGTCTGCCATTTATAAATTAAAATTGTCTGCCATAAAGACTTAGCAAAGTAGGGTGCACTAGAGAGAGCATTGCAGCTTAATGAGTGTCATTACATTTGTGGATGGATCTGAAAATATCTGTAACAAACAATGCACATTCATTTGCCAATTAAAGTTTGCAACATTCTGATATCCACAGGATACTAAAAATTCTGTTTTGGGTCAAATTGTAAATCACTTGTCTGCTCCTCTGACAGCCAACCTTTACAAAAAAGGGTTGGTCTGTAAGCCTGGCCTATAGGTCAACCTATAGATTCCTATAGAAAACCTATAGTTTTTTATAGGCAATTGGAACATTTTTTATAGGTGACCTATAGGGATGCCTATAGAGCTCTATAGGCACCCAAATGCTTCTATTGGGAATTGGAACGTATAGTATAGGGCACATATAGTCGATGGACTTTTTTCGTAAGGGAAAATTTATATCACTGCTTAAAATAGCTAGAGCCTTAATTATTTCCACTCTGCATGATGCAGCTGTTGTTTTATATAGCCATGTAATTATGGTAATTATATGCCCAAGATTCCTCCTCGCTAGTATTAATGAAATGGCAAAATCATCGATATGCAAGAAGACTAGTTTTTATAGTTGAAAAAACATTTTTGCAGTACATGCATTGTATGGTGCCCATGCAAATAATTATTCTGTCGATTTTTGAATGACCCATTAAGTGCCAGTGCTCTCCCCTAGTCCCTAATTTGACAAGCAAAATTGCTTGGCAAGTAAAATGGGGTGCATTTATAGGATTCAATGCAAGTTATGCAAATTACCATTAAGCATCTTTTAATTAATTACTATTAAGCATCCTTTAATTTGATAATGCTTTCCAACACTTTCCCTACTTATTCATTTTCTCAACATTGATTGGCTAATTTTCCTACAAATAAATAACTGGTGAGAATAGTACACCAGCTGCAAATAACTGGTGCAAATAATTGTCTGAGCATGTGCACTTTTGAAATCAAATCTCAATTGCAAAATATCGATGTATGCATGTGCATTTAAGATTTTTGGAAAGCAATTCAAAAAAATGCACAAGTTTTATTAACCCATTAAGCACCAGCTTTTTTTCCTTGATGAGTAAAATCATCTCGCGTTAGACAGAGTAAAATAATATAGTTAGTAGGGCGCATCAGGACGCAATGCGACTCAATGGGTTAATATTGACATTGACACTATTAATAATTATTTACCAGTGTTCACGCTTTGTTTTTATCAATAGTGTTCTGATTTTTACCATATTTATTGTGTATGTATAGGTAATGGTTTCAAGTACAATTTGGAAAAAAACATGCACAAGTGAGTTTTTCAAAGACTATGGAATTTGCACGAGTCCAAAGGACAAGTGTAATTTGAAGTCTTTGAAAAACTCACGAGTGTGTGTTTTACTTATTAATACTATACATGAAAAAATGATGTTAAAAAATGGGTTGGGATAAAACGCGGATACAGACGGACGGACGAAAACGCGGACGGACAGGCGGATGGACGGATGGACAAAAAGGGATAAAATGCGGATGCGGACAAAAGGGATAAAATGCGGATGCGGACAAAAGGGATAAAATGCAGATGCGGACAAAAAGGATAAAATGCGGATGCGGACAAAAAGGATAAAATGCAGGTGCGGACAAAAAGGATAAAATGCGGACTGTTTCATTGCCCTAACATAATTCGTTATTTCGGAGACACAATTCATAGACGTAGTACACTGTAAATTCCAGCTGGAGTTTCAGCCGCTTGCCGAAAATGCATTGTAATTTTATTTTAGTTAGTTCATTTATGCAAGGTCATAGAGAATTGTGTTCGTTTTTTTCTCCCCGTAGTAAAATACCATCGCGGTGGTGTTTATTTCTGGATGAAAACAGCATAAATGCAACATAATAATAAAAGAAATGCACAGAGCTTGTGCTGATGCCTTACCCGCGATATGTTTTACGGAAATTCCAACGCATTGAATTTAATATTTAATGATTTTGAATTTAATAAAATTGCCAATATAACTTTCACAAACAAATACAAATAAATAAATAAAAAAATAGAATTACATATGGCGAGGAAATCCAAAAAAGAAACCTAAAGGCTTATGAAATCATGGATTTCCTCCCAGAAATGGATTACAGAAAATTATATAAATAAGCAAATGCAAAATGGCAACATCAAACATTAAGTGTAATACGGTAGTTTAACATATTCGATGAATGGCTATATTGATGGTTACAATTCAAAGAAATAAACTTTTAAGCCTGAAAGTAAAAATTTGAAAAGAAACAGAATTAACAATTTCATCCCCAAGTGAGTTAAAAAACTTCGGACCTTGATATCGTATTGAAAACTGACAAATATTTGTCCGACACAACGGCAGGTGGAAAGATTTTGAATTTCTAGTCAGATAGCTATGTACTTCACTATTCAGTCTAAAAAAACTATCAAAACATGCAGGCAACAATCCATGTTTATAGGAAAACATAAACTGGCCCATTTGCAATGAGCAAATATCACAAAATTTCATTATATGAAGTTCTTTAAAAATAGGATCTGTATGTGCATCAAAATTACTCCTACTTAAAATTCTGACAACACGTTTCTGAAGTAAAATAATACGATATAAATTACTCTGGTAGGTAGATGCCCATACCAGATTACAATAATATAGATATGGATAAACTAAAGAAAAATATAACGTGCGCATGTTTTCTTTAAATAGGTAGAAACTTGATTTATAAATTATTCCTATAGATTTAGATATTTTATTTGCAACTTGAGCAATCTGCGGTTTCCATGACAAATGTTGATCCAAGACAACTCCCAAAAACACAATTTCACTTACTTGAGAAATTTCATGATTATTTATGCACAAATTTATATTCAACTTTCCCTTCTTTTGTTTTGGCTTAAATAACATGAATTTCGTTTTATCTAAATTTAATGATAACTTATTTGCTTTAAACCATTCAGATAATTTTTTAGTCTCCTCCTTCAAAACTTTAGTTAGAATTGTTGGGTCATAATGCGAGTAAAAAATATTTGTATCATCAGCGAACAAAATTACCGTCAAAAGTTTCGAAACATTTGCTAAATCATTGATATATAATAAAAACAAAAGAGGACCCAAGATTGAACCCTGAGGTACTCCGCAGGAAATATTCTGCTTAATAGAATTTGTTTGATTATATTGTACATACTGCATTCTATGCGATATGTAACTTTTAATTAAATCTAAAGCTAGGCCCCTAATTCCATAATAATTCAGTTTATCAAGTAGAATATTATGATTTACTGTATCAAAGGCCTTTGAAAGATCTAAAAATATTCCAACCGAGTGTTCCTTGCGATCAATTGCTGATGAAATCTTATCAAATAAATCAACCAGAGCCAATGAAGTAGAATGACCTTTACGAAAGCCAAACTGATTATTACAAAAAATACCCAGTTTATTTATATAGTTCAACAAACGCTTATAAATAACTTTTTCTAAAAACTTGGAGAAACACGGAAGAATAGAAACAGGTCTATAATTTGTAAATACTGCTTGATCACCAGCTTTAAAAAGCGGAATAACTCGAGCTATTTTTATTTCATCTGGAACTATACCATGTGAAATAGATAAGTTAATTATATGAGCCAGAGGCCTCGAAATTATACCAATCGAATGCTGCACAACTGCCATTGGAATATTATCATATCCAGAAGCTTTATTTGATTCAAAACTCATCGCAATTTCTATGATTTCACTTTGAGTTGTTGGGTCGATAAAAATTGAGTTTTGATAACACCCAGACAAAGATGTCAAGTGCGAAATAGATGATTGAGGTATTTTATCCGCTAAATTATGACCTATATTTGAAAAATAACTACAAAATTTATCAGCAATGACAGAGGGATCGGAAATTTCTTGGTTATCAATCTTAAAAATTGAAGGTAGTTTTAACGATTTCTTTTTCCTATTTATAACTTCATTAAGAATTTTCCATGTTCTCTTTAAGTTAGATTTTGATTTGCCCAAAGCTTCGCTATAATATAAACGTTTTGCCAATCTCAACGAATGATTTAATCTGTTTCTATAACTTTTATAAAAACATTCACGACTATAAGTAGGATTACTAACATATTGCTTGTACAGAACATTTTTCCTTTTAATTGATTTTAAAAGGCCTTTGGATAGCCATGGTTTATGAATTTCACCACGTTTGATTTTACTTTTTTTAAGTGGAAAACAACAATTGTAAATTTCTTTAAATTTAGTATGAAAAGCTGTATAAGCAATTTTAGGGTCATTAAAGTTCTCCACAACCGACCAGTCAACACTGCCTAATTGGTCATTAAACTTTGTCATATTAGTAGGATTTTTATCACGATACATAACAAACTGATTCGAATGATCGTCAGACCAAAATTCGTCAATATCAACGACAAAAATTGGTAGATGGTCAGAAAGATCATTAAATAATAATCCACTAGTTGTACAATTATGAATATTATTTGTGAATATATTATCTATTAGTGTTGCCGTATTTGAAGTTATTCTAGTTGGACGAGATATCAGTGGATGAAACATATTTGAATATATAGAATCTAAAAATTCGCCAGTTTTAGGACTAGATTGATGATTCATTAAGTTCAAATTAAAATCTCCCATTATATAGCATATCTTATTTTCCCGTGAAATTTTCGACATTAATTCATTGAATTGTTGTAAAAACAAATCTAAATTGCGATCGGGAGGCCTATAAATGACACCAACAACAATGTTTCTGCCACAAGGCTTGCGAATCTCAATAAACAAAGTTTCCGCCAAATCAATATCAATAATTTCTAAATCACCACGCGATTCAAAATCATGATTGCTTAAAACATATAAACCCACGCCTCCTCCTTGAGTTCTATTTTGTCGGCATTTTGAAATAAAATCATAACCATCAATATTAACCAACTGCGCTGAAGAATAATTAAGCCAGGTTTCGGTAACACCTATTACAGAAAATTGCAATTCAAGACTAAACAATAGATCCGTAAGCCTATTCAGATTACACCTAAGGCTACGACTATTTACATGCATGACTGAAAAACATGATCTTGACTTAACTTTTGAATTAAAGAAATCATTGAGTTGCTCCTCAACATAGTAATCACAGTCATTAGTGTGATTGAACATATTTAAGTCTGGGTCCAGATCACTGGATAGTGTAAGATAATTATCTCCTTGCAAAAAAGGATTAAAATGTAGGCAATCAAGCCTATCTGCATTATAATTAATCGGGCCATTTTGCATTTCAAATATTAATAAATTAAATTCCTGGTCATCTAACTCAGAAAACGGAAAAACGTCCGGAGAAAAAGCCATAATTAAATAAATAATGTCAACAAAAACACTTATCTGAACACACAAATTAAATTATATCATCGCGCAATACTATCGTCGCCTGCCGCCTGAGCAGAAGTTGGTGTCTGACTTGTGTTATTTCTTGAATGCGTAATTAGTTTATCATAACGTAAATAAGCCACCATACCATTTCGTCCTGCTTCAAACATTTTGGGAACTAATTCGCGTCGTTTGGCTAATACTTTATCAGAAAAATCTTCCCTAATAAATATATTAGTCCCTTTAAGATGTTTCCTTTCATTTAGGACTGCATTTCTGATTTTATGGTTAGCAAACTTTGCCACAATTGGCCGCGGTTTACTAGGCGAATTTCTTGCACGGCCAACGCGATGGGCTCGTTCTATGGTATAGTTGCCTGTCTCAATACCCAATTTGGAGGAGAGAATTTCTTTTATTTTATCTTCGCTGTTTTGCCAAGATTCATTAGTGCTTTCAGGAACACCGTCGAAGCATAAGTTGTCACGACGCGAGCGATTTTCAAGGTCATCTGCTTTGCTATCTATCTCATTAACCTTGAGTGAAACTTCATCAATTATGGTTGAGAAATCTTGAAATTTAGCTGCGAAATCTGTCATCTTTTTAAAGGATTCCTCGCCAACTGATAAACTTGACTTCTTAAATTCTTCAAACTGAGCTTGAGTAAATTCTACCGAATTTTTAAGATCTTGAACAGTTCGAATAATTTGATCTAATCGCTGGTTCGTATTATCCATGTAAACTGACAAAAAACTTTTAATACTAGATTCTTGTACTTTAAGAAGCTCTTTTACAACCGACAGAGGGATCATATCCATATCAGTATCTTTAGAACTTTGATTATTAACGGAGCTAGTTTTCGAGCGTGTGGCCGCCATTTTGTATTACCATTTTGTATAACTTTGTACTCAGAGTGAGGAACCTAGTCCTCAATGTGAGGATCCTGACTTCAGAGTGAGGAACCTTGTCCTCAGAGTGGGGAACATTGCCAATCTCAACGAATGATTTAATCTGTTTCTATAACTTTTATAAAAACATTCACGACTATAAGTAGGATTACTAACATATTGCTTGTACAGAACATTTTGAGGAACATTTTGTACAGACCATTTTGAGGAACATTGAGGAACAGAGTGAGGAACATTGTCCTCAGAGAGAGCACCTTGGTCTCAGCGTGTGGAACCTTGTCCTCAATGTGAGGAACCTTGTCCTCAATGTGGATAACCTTGTCCTCAGAGTGAGGAAACTCGTCCTCAGTGTGCGTAACCTGCCTTCAGTGTGACGAACCTTGTCCTCAGTGTCAGGAACCTTGTCCTCAGAGTGTGGAACCTGCCTTGAGAGTGAGAAACCTTGTCCTCAGAGTGAGGAACCTTGTCCTCAGTGTGAGGAACCTGACTTCAGAATGAGGAACCTTGTCCTCAGATTCTGGCACCTTGTACTCAGAGTGAGGAACCTTGTACTGAGAGTGAGGAACCTTGTCCTCAGAGTGAGGAACCTTGTCCTCAGAGTGAGGAACCTTGTCCTCAGAGTGAGGAACCTTCTCCTGAGTGTGAGGAACCTTGTCCTCAGAATGGGGAACCTTGTCCTCAGAGTGAGGAACCTTTTTCTCAGAGTGAGGAACCTTGTCCTCAGTGTAAGGAACCTTGTCCTCAGAGTGATGACACTTGCCTCAGAGTGAGGAACCTTGTTTTCAGAGTGAGGAACTTTGTCCTCAGTGCGAGGAACCTTGTCCTCAGTGTGAGCAGCCTTTGTCCCAAAGTGAGGAACCTTGTTCTCAGAGTGAGGAACCTTGTCCTCAGTGTGAGGAACCTTGTAGTCAGAGTGAGACACCTTGTCCTCACAGTGAGGAACCTCGTCCTCAGTGTGAGGAATTTCCCTTCAGAGTGAGGTACCTTGTCCTCGGACTGAGGAACGTTAACCTTCTCCTCAGACTTAAGAACATGCCTTCAGATTGAGGATCCTTGTCCTCAGAGTGAGGAACCTTGTCCCCAATGTGAGGAACCTGACTTCAGAGTGAGGACCTAGTTCTCAAAGTGTGGAACCTTGTCCTCAGAAAGAGGAACCTTGTCCTCAGAGTGTGGAACCTGCCTTCAGAGTGAGAAACCTTGTACTCAGGGTGAGGAACCTTGTCCTCAGTGTGAGGAACCTGACTTCAGAGTGAGGAACCTTTTCCTCAGAGTGTGGAACCTTGTCCTGAGAGTGAGGAAATTCTGCTCAGACTGAGGAACCTTGCCGTCAGAGTGAGGAACATTGATTTTACATTGAGTAACCTGCCTTCAGAGTGAGGAACCTTGTCCTCAGAATGAGGAACCTTGTCCTCGGAGTGAGTAATTTTGTTCTCAGAGTGAGGAACTTTGTTCTCAGTGTGAGGAACCTTGTCCTCAGAGTGATGAACCTTGTCCTCAGAGCGAGCAACCTTGTTCACAGAGAGAGCAACTTTGCCCTCAGTGTGAGGAAGCTTTGTCCTCAGAGTGAGGAACCTTGTCCTCAGTGTGAGGAACCTTGTAGTCAGAGTGAGGAACTTTGTCCTCACAGTGAGGAACCTGCCTTCGGAGTGAGCAACCTTGTCCTGAGAGGGAGGAGCCTTGTTCTCAGAGTGACAAACCTTGTCCTCAGAGTGAAGAACTTTGTTCTCAGAGAGAGGAACCTTGGTGTCAGAGTGTGGGACCGTCTCCTCAATGTGAGGAACCTTGTTCTCAGTGTGAGAAACCTTGTCCTCAGAGTGAGGAAACTCTTCCTCAGCGTGATTAACCTGCCTTCAGAGTGAAGAACCTTGTCCTCAGACTGAGGAGCCTTGTCCTCAGTGTCAGGAACCTTGTCCTCTGAGTAAGGAACCTGCCTTCAGAGTGAGGAACCTTGTCCTCAGAATGAGGAAACTTGTCCTCAGATATAGGAACCTTGTCCTCAAAGTGAGGAACCTGTTCCTCATAATGAGGAACCTTGTCCTCAGAGTGAGGAACCTTGTCCTCAGAGTGAGGAACCTTGTTCTCAGAGCGGGAAACCTTGTCCTCAGAATGAGGAACACATTCCGCAGAGTGAGGAACCTTGTCCACAGAGTGAGGAACCTTGTTCTCAGACTGAGGAACCTTGTCCTCAGAGTCAGGAACTTTGTCCTCAGAGTGAGGAACCTTCTCCTCAGAGTGAGGAACCTTGTCCTCAAAATGAGGAACCTCGTCCTCAGTGTGAGAAATTTGCATTCAGAGTGAGGTACCTGGTCTTCGGAGTGAGGAACCTTCTCCTCAGACTTAGGAACGTGCCTTCAGATAGAGGATCCTTCTCCTCAGAGTGAGGAACCTTGTCCCCAATGTGAGGAACCTGACTTCAGAGTGAGGACCTTGTTCTCAGAGTGGGGAACCTTGTCCTCAGAGCGAGGAACCTTGTCCTCAGAGTGCGGAACCTGCCTTCAGAGTGAGGAACCTGGTACTCAGAGTGAGGAACCTTGTCCTCAGTGTGAGGAACCTGACTTCAGAGTGAGGAACTTTGTCCTCAGAGTGTGGAACCTTGTCCTCAGAGTGAGAAAATTTTGCTCAGAGTGAGGAACCTTGTCCTCAGAGTGAGGAACATTGTTTTTACTGTGAGGAACCTGCCTTCAGAGTGAGGAACCTTGTCCTCAGAATGAGGAACCTTGTCCTCACAATGAGGAACCTTGTCCTCGGAGTGAGTAACCTTGTTCTCAGAGTGAGGAACCTTGTTGTCAGTGTAAGGAACCTTGTCCTCAGAGTGATGAACCTTGTCCTCAGAGTGAGGAACCTTGTTCTCAGAGAGAGCAACTTTGTCCTCAGTGTGAGGAACTTTTGTCCTCAGAGTGAGGAACCTTGTCCTCAGTGTGAGGAACCTTGTAGTCAGAGTGAGGAACCTTGTCCTCACAGTGAGGAACCTGCCTTCGGAGTGAGCAACCTTGTCCGGAGTGGGAGGAACCTTGCCCTCAGAGTGACAAACCTTGTCCTCAAAGTGGGGAACCTTGTCCTCAGAGCGAGGAACCTTGTCTTCAGAGTGAGGAACCTTGTCGTCAGAGTGAGGAACCTTCTCCTCAGTGTGAGGAACCTTGTCCTCAGAATGAGGAACCTTGTCCTCAGTGTGAGGAACCTAGTCCTCACAATGAGGAACCTTGTCCTCAGAGTGAGTAACCTTGTTCTCAGAGTGATGAAACTTGCCTCAGAGTGAGGAACCTTGTTCTCAGAGTGAGGAACTTTGTCCTCAGTGTGAGGAACCTTGTCCTCAGTGTGAGGAGCCTTTGTCCTCAAAGTGAGGAACCTTGTCCTCAGAGTGAGGAAGCTTGTCCTCAGTGTGACGAACCTTGTAATCAGGGTGAGGAACCTTGTCCTCAGAGTGAGGAACCTGCCTTCAGAGTGAAGAACCGTGTCCTGAGAGTGAGGAGCCTTTTCCTCAGAGTGAGGAACCTGCCTTTAGAGTGTGGAACCTTGTCCTCAGAGTGAAGAAACTTGTCCTCAG